GGGGCACGCGCGATAATGCCTCAGATCGTCGTCGGCCACTTCCAGAGGACACCCAAATGCACAGCCCATCACGCGCGATAATGCCTCAGATCGTCGTCGGCCACTTCCAGAGGACACCCAAATGCACAGCCCATCACCATGGTATGCAGACGACTGGAGGTACACACCCCACGGCAGAGCACTCTAAGGACCCCCGTGACGAGGTGCATCGTGCTGTCCTTCTCAACTTTACGCATCCTCTGGACAAGCACCTGAAAGTCAGCTTGCGCATCGCTTTCTGCTGAAGAGATTTCTTGGGGATGGGTTCCAGGGTCGGGACCGTGAAATTGCCTACTTCAGCCGCCGTAGTCCTGATCCAAGATGACTTCCACCAGGGCCAGTACAGTCGAGCGGGAATGAAGTTATCGTCATCCAGGGAAACCGTCAACGACTCGATCTCATACTGGACTGCATCAATACTGGGGCAAGACATCACCGCCCGAAACTTGATAGCCTTCGAAAAACAATCGATATCCAAGCATTCTAAAGAGGCTCCCAACGCTCGCAGGCCCGTCAGCATCTCCCTCGAGAAGGCATGGCGGGGACCAGCAGTAATCACCTGTAAGGCCTCATCCTACGCTTTCCGAAGAGCCGTGGTCACTGGGCAAAGTTGTAACTGGTACGCCAAAATCGACATGCAGTGCGAGTGGAAGAGGCGAATGGTTTGTAGAAGCCCCAACCCAAGCCCACGAAGCCTCCGAACCGTCATCCAGAACTTGGGGATGGTGTGGCTCCATACTCTGTCCAGGGCCCCAGGCCCAAGGCAGAATCCCAAGTAGAGAACAGCGCGAACAAACCCAATGCGGTGGTACTCACTCCCCTTGGCTCGAGGGTGGGCAACTAATCTATCAGGATCAAGCGAGCAAATCACCAATACTTTACATTTGGGAATGTTCAGCCTAAGCCCCACTGCATGTTCCAACTTACGAAGGAGCGAGAGCGTCGGCTGGAGGTCAGTCAGGATGTCGGGTAGGCAGAAGGATAGATCATCAGTGTAGGCCCTAATCCGAAGGACATGGTCAGTGAGCTTGGCCCTCATCCAACGCAATACAGGGTCTCGCGCATAAGCGAAGAGAAGCATCGAAGCAGGATCGCCTTGCCGCACCCCACGATCCACCGAAAAAGCAATACCAGAAGTCCCAGGGAAGTTGATTACAGCCACATTGCCACGGTACAGCTCACGATAAAAAACCACAGACTTCACCAGGAACACCCATAGCCTCCAAGACCGCCAAGATCCATGATCTGATCAGAGAGGGGGACGCAGCCTTAAAGCCCGTGAAAAGAATGCCCGGGCGATCCCCACCAGTAAGCATCTGACGAAGACCCCGCCATTCAATCTCAACCACGTTGTCAAGGAGCCCACGTCGCGCGACCCCCCCTCGCTGGATCGGGTCGATTACTGACGGAGCAGCCCGCTGGAGGCCAATGGAGAAAGCGTCACTCAGGAGCTTCGCATCGGTATTCGCCAGCGTGAGTGGGCGGGTCTTATTAGGCGACCGAGCAAGGACAGCGGGGTTCTCGTGGTCTTTGGGCAGAAAACACATCCTTCCTCGACGCATGCACGCCGAAACAGTGCCCCCAGACGCCTGGTACATCTCAGCATAAACAGCAAATAAAATATCAGCGGCCCCCTCAGCTTCCCAGCGCCCATGCGGAATGCCATCCTCCCCAGGGGCAGAGTGGTGCTTAAATCGGGCCCGCTCAATAAAACCGTCGACGTCCAACTTCCAATGTAATGGGTCCAACTGGATCGGCTGGGCATGAGCGAGGATTTCAGGCCAAAGGGTCCGATCAGGTTCCTTGGCTGCAAAAACCGCCTGCCACTGGTCCCGGAGGGCCTCGGCAGAGGCCGTCGGAGAAGGGCGCACCTGCCCAGAACTGTCCAGCATCCCAGAGAGCCCATAGCGCCGACGCATCTTTGACCAGGCTCGACGGAGGTGTTGCAAGCGGGCCATGGCCTTAGCCTTAGACTTCTCGTCATCCCCCCACCCGTCCATCGCCCGTTCCTCCGACTCATGCCAAGCATCCTTCAGAGACTGCACCAATGCACCCAAGCCGGCTATATCCAAGCATCTCTCACGGTCTGGATCAAAGTACTGAAGCAACCGAGGATACGCGCGTATCGCACGCGCACACTGGTCGAACCGGCTCATACGCCACCCACGGAAGGCCATCATAGCAAAGTGGAGTTTCTCACAATTCTCTGTCGGGGGCTTGAAAAGAGGGGCCATCTGCCAGAGTATCTCCTTCACCCGAGCCAGTTTCTCCCGAGGGGTCAAATCCTGGTCGATTTCCATAATGGCGCTGGCACGCAACTCAGGGTAAGCTCCATGTCGGGAAATCCACTTAGGAATCCGGGTGGGTAACGCTGATGGCATTCTCAGAGCGACAGTGGCCGCAACAGGGATATGGTCAGACGAGGCGAAGGTCTTCGCGGCATGCCCCAGGGCATTTACCGTCACCGCCAAATCATTCAAGACAGGGGCCGAGAGAGAAGTGTAGATGCGGTCCAGACGGGCAACCCCACGGACTTCTCCCTGGAACGCATCGCGCCGTGTCGGATCTGGTTGGAAGAGCTCAGCCCAAGACCCGCACATAGACTGAAAGGCATCAGTGTGTTCCCTATCCCCTGCTAACCACGTGCCGTCAGTCCGAAACCGCCCCTCCCCCACCTCCATAAAGTTCCAATCCCCAGCAATCAAGCACATAGTGTGCGCAGGCAATGGAAGGAACGCCTGAATCACACACAGGTACCTGCGATACATCGCAACTGGATCAGAAGTGTTCGGCATGTGCACATTGACAATCGCTAGGTCCCCACGACGTCCCTGCAGGTGCGAGGCGAGAACTCGGCCAGCAATCAACGGAAACGGAGTGATCGATTCGAACTGCGAAGCCAGCTTGCTCGATATGACTGTAACCACGCCGCCCCCGGCCCTCGGATCGATCATCGAATGGTGGGCATTTGCACAGCGACAACGGTCATCACGCTGTAACATCTCCACATCAGACGCCGTGCCATGAGTCTCCTGTAAACACACAGCGTCGAACCTGCCAACAAGACCAGACATCTGCTTATACCGCCGAGCTGCCAGTGGAGACGAAGTAGAGCACGATGAGAAGAGAGCGCGTGTATTCCAAGAACACAAGGTAAGCGCAGAAGAGGGGGCAAACACCCCATTCGCTCCAGAGGACGGGTCACCAGGGGTAAACGGTCCGCCTGAATTCAAATTAAAACACTGGTTGGCTGACTGAGCACTGTCCTGGCTAGTCGGCACACGGGTCCGATGGTTCCCCCCGACAGGCCCACCATCCCAGGGAGGGCCCGAACCACCAGGGACCCGACAAAAATAGCCAGGCAGCGCACTAGGAATCCCGAGGCGGGGAGCTCCAGGACAACTGGGGCCCTCACACAAAGGGCCGAATCTGATCAAAAAGGGTTGCAATGCACCCAGCGTGCTCATCTACCCCGAACGTTCCGAAGGCCTCAGGAATCAGAACAAGTTCAGGGCGACCGCGCTCACGGACCGCGACCTTCGCAAGAATCACTGGGTGCGCTGCCGTAAGTAGACCGTATATCTGACCGCCGAGGCCGTTGCTGCCCACCTGGAAACCATTCTCCCCCAAGACCTTCCCGATGATCGCACGAACCTGTCCCAGGTAGTAGAACAACTTACGGCTAGCGGGGGGGAAGTCACGACGCACGCGGAGCTCCCATCCACGGTTATCTATCGGGTTCTGGTACACAGTCTTACCAATGGTCTGGCTCTTACCGAAGAACGCCGTGCACGACAAAGTACTGGGGAAGTCCAGAATCACCTTCCGCGTGAGGGAGTACGCACGAACGATCGGTTCTTCACCTGCTGGACTACACGCAGCAACAATGGGGGCCACCGCTTCCTTGAGAGACGCTTCCAGTAGGGGCCTCTCAAACCCGAGAACAATCAGACGAGTAGCACTTGCTTGGTCTGGTCCCGACGTCCTCATCATCTTCCGACGCCCTCCATCCCCATCGCCTCCCACGAGCTCGAACTCCGAATCGGCACGAGTCGACGAACCAGCCGAGAGCTTCTGCTGCAACTCATGCATCTGAACATCGATCTTCGCCACTACTGCAGCCAACTTCGCATCTGTGTCAACCGAGACCTGGTGAATCGCTTCGTCCTGGGATTTCTTAATCTCTGCCCAGCGAGCCTCCGAGCGACGATTCATCTCTGCGAACTCATCCGGCGTCCGATCAAAGTTGTTCCCCATCACTGTCATCTGCTGGCGAAACATCTCAAACTCTGCTAAGTGTGTGGTAAACCCTTCTTTCACGATCGCCGTCAACGCGCTGAGCTGCCTGGACACCTCCGGCGGTACCTCGGGCACGGGCGGCGGCACAGCCCCCCCCCACCGCCCCCGCAGGGGCAGGGGCAAACGCAGGGGCAGGAGACGGAGACAGTCCACTCAGTCCATTCATGGGTCCTGCAGCGCGAGCGGCCTCAGCCATGGCTGGAGGGCGGGACAGGAAGGACGGGCGGCCGGCGGCCGAGGCGCGCGCAGCCCGAGGGAGGGAGAACAGGAGGACCCGAGGAGCGGGTCGGGGGGGGGCCAGGCCGAGCGGGTCGCGCAGACCACCCTGAGCCGATACGGTTTGAGCCAAAATGGCTTGAGCCAAAATGGCTTGAGCCAAAATGGCTACGGAAGGAGGGGGAGGAGGAGGAGGAAGAGGAGGAGGAGGAGGAACAGGACGAGGAGGAGGAGGAGGACGGCGGGGGGGTGCTGCGCAGGGGAGGAACGAACGAATCCAGACCTACGCCCCAACGCCTCAGGCGTGCTGGCGTCCTGGCCGAGATCAAGGCGGGGTGTTTTTCGCCGTGTTCGGCCCCCGGGGGGCCGTCGCCAGGCTCCTGGGCCAGAAAAAAACACGGCTCGGGATGAACAACTTGTCATGGGGAAAGGGTCGGGACTGAAACAATCAGGCCGTTGCATGTTTCTGTGGCGTCGTGAAAATGGACCATGTTTACCCATCGGTCGGAAGACGTAGGTTGAAACATGAAGTGGGCCCTGCAAGGGGCCTGGGCGTGCGAGCGGCCAACGCCAGCTGCCCCAGGCCCCCTGCTGCCTCCCCCGCCCGCTAATTAGACGAGGCGGCACGCCCGCCCGCAGGAAAAAGGCCGCCCTCTCCAGCGGCGACGACAAGGGCGAATAGCCCAGGGGCGGGCATTGCACGCATTCGCCCGGGAGCCTTTTCGAAGACACAGTTCATCATCGGCGCCCCTGGGTACAGCATGTATTGCTCTCCCCTGGGCTATTCGCCCCTATCGTCGCCCCTGACCTCTCCGCGCAGCTTCCCCCGCGCGGGCGGAAGCCCGGCGGAGGCCGCGAAGGAGCCCGCGAGGCGGAGGCCTCGGTCACCCGACTTCACGGATCGTGCCCCGACGACGCGATGATATCTTGGCGCCCTCCCGGGGCCACCCGGGCACGGGCGACCGTCCGGCCGATCTGGCCTGGGCCGCGACGAGCGAAGCGCAGGCGGCCTCGCGACCCGGGGGGACACCCAGGAGATCCGCGTCGCACGGGCACGTGCTCAGACGTGAGCTCAACTTCGCGCGGCGTCGGGCCAAGAGAGCTCCTGGTCCCAGATCTTCACGTCCCGCAGGCTGCCGCGAAAGAGCTGGTCTCGGAACTTGAAGTGGCCGCCCACGATCATGCGCGGCCTGTGGGTGCGCAGAGGTACCATCCCGTGTGGGTTCTCGCCCACGAGAACGCCGTTCTTGAACACCTTCATGTGTCCCGACGGCGTGACCGTGCACATCATCGTGAACTCACGCCCTGGCTCGAAGAAATTGGCCACGCGCACTGAGTAGGGCATCTTGCCCCGGAAGATCGTGAAATGTAGGTCCTGGGTGAGCCCGATGGCCCCGGCCGTGATGCTGTCGTCGTCCGCCTCCAGAGAGAAGTCGAACACGCGGGACCAGTGGTCGAAGCCGTCCATCCTGACCACGCACATGAAGGAGAACGCCCCCCCCAGCAGGGTCTGGACGCCGCCGCTGAAGTTCGTCGGGCGCTTCAACGGTTCGAGGCGCTCCGCCACCGGCTGTGCGACCGCCGTGCCGACAGCGGCCCGCGCAGGTGCCGAACGCGTCGCTGGTGGGCCCGCCAAGCTGGTGGCGGGCGGTATGGCGCCAAGGTCCACGCCATTGGCGGCGGAGGCCCACAACGCCGGCAGGGAGGCCTCTGCGGAGGGCGGCGGGCCGGCGCCACAATCCGCGCAGCCAGCTGCCATGGGTCGTCGGGGGGGGGAAAGATATGGAAATGTGTTGGCGGCTGTGGTTTTGCCTGGTTCTGGTGCCTATTGGGCGAGAGGGTGGCTTGCGGCTCGGTCGAGCCTGGCCTGAGCAGCTAATCTGCAGCGGGGTTGGCTTTGCGCCATGAGCACCCTTCTGTTCCGGCGTGAGGTTTTCGTGACCGCAGGCACTTGGTCCCCTGCCAAATTGGTGCTCAGCCCTCTGGGCGTGGGTGGTATAGGGCACTTCCTCTTTCAAGCCCCCTCTCCCCCTTCGGGGAAGGGTTTATCACTGTTCCCTATTAATATACACCCCCTCCCCCAGGCGACCGGCAGCCAACCGGGAACCATGCTCCCCCACACACCTTCCCAGGAACAAAAACAAAACAAAACGTATTCTGCCTCCAAATTCGGAGCATGTGCAGCCAACCCGATGCGCTCCCCCACCCACCATCCCTGTTAACAATTATCCCAGTGCGATCCTACCTAGGAGTTGGAGCCTCTAGGAAAGCAACGTTAGTGGATGCTGTGCTGCGCTATGCTATGCTATGCTATTGTATGCTGCGCTATGCTATGCTATGCTATGATATGCTGCGCCGTGCTATGCTATGATAGGCTATGATATGAAATGTTGCGCTATGCTATGCTATGTTATGCTATGATATGCTGCGCTATGCTGTACTATGCTATGCTATGCTACGCTATGATGTGCTATGCTATGCTATGCTGCGCTGTGCTATCCTAAGCAATGCCACGCTATGCTAGACTATGCTGCGCTATGCTATGCTATGAAATGCTATGCTGAGCTATGCTATGCTATGCTTGGCTATACTATGCTGTGCTAATGCTGCGCTGCGCCATGCTGCACTGAGTTAAGCTAAGATAAGCTAAGCTATGCTAAGCTAAGCTAAGCTAAGCTAGACTAGGCTAAGCTAAGCTACGCTAAGCTAAGCTAAGCCAAGCTAAGCTACGCTAAGCTAATATAGTCTAAGCTCAGATGAGATAAGCTAAGCCAAGCTAAGCGAAGCTAGGCTAGGCAACGCTAAGCTAAGCTGAGCTAAGATGAGATAAGCAACGCTAAGCAAAGCTAAGCTAAGCTTAGCTAAGCTTAGCTGGGTGAACCCATGGGGCGCAACTGGGGGAACCGCGGGGCGGATCCTGGGGGAACCGCCCTGGGCGGGGTGCACTGCCTGGCCCCTTTAAGATCGAGAGTGAGAACCCTTCTAGGCAGAGCCTAGGTAGGGAATCAAACCAAAAACAACAACAAACGCAAAAGCAAAAGCAACAGCAAAGGCAAGGCAAAGCAACAACAAAACCAGTGCGAAAGTGTAGATGTAGATGTAGATGTAGATGTAGGTGTAGGTGTAGATGTAGATGTAGATGTAGGTGTAGGTGCAGATGTAGATGTAGATGTAGAATTAAGTCTCGCTGTCGATGTTGATGGTAGATGCAGGTGTAGATGTTAATGTAGCTGTCGGTGTAGATGTAGATGTTGCTTTCCTAGATGCTCCAACTTCTAGGTAGGGTCGCACTGGGATAATGCTGTGCTGCGCTATGCTATGCTACGCTATGCTATACTATGCTGTGCTCTGCTATGCTTAAGCTCGGCGAAACTACGATGAAGGTCAGCTAAGCTAAGGTAAACCAGAGCTAATATGAAACTAAGCTAAAATAAGATTAACTAAGCTAAGCTACGATGAGATAAGCAACCCTAAGCTAAGAGGCCGTCACTGGGGGAACCGCGGGGCGGATACTGGGGGAACCGCCCGGGGCGAGGACCACTGCCCGGCCCTTTAAGCATACACGGTAAGAACCCTTCTAGGCAGAGCCTAGGTAGGGAACCATACAACATACACTTTGGGGCAAAATCTCAAATCACTTTCGTGAGGCCAACAAGCACTTTGCATTGTGTTGACAGGGGCGGCGGGGGTGTCAGCATATTGCCTGCTGCGCGTGACAAAACATGATACAGAATGCACCTCGCGGCTGAATCTCGATCATGCGCGGCCACCCCGCGATCGTTGCCTAGTGGTTTTTGACAAGGACGGCGGGGGTGGTGGCGTATGGCCTGCTGTGCGCAGGCCCACCAGACACAATGGTGGGGAAATGGTTTTCGAGAAAGATGGTGGGTGCCGACATGCTTCCCGACGTGTGCTGTCACGTGCGCAGGCGCGCCCGACACACACTGCACGTGCCCCGAACGTGGCGCACCTGGCGCGGCTGGAGTATGCGGCACACTTGGCGCACGCGAAAACACGTGGCGCATCTGGCGCACCAGGATTGCCTGGCACGCTCGGGCCCCAGAGGTGCCTGGCGCGCGTGGCGCGCCTGGCACTCGCGCACATGGGCTCGGTTTTGGTTCCCAGTGGCTGTTCATCCAAAACGACCGCTGAACATGCTGAGGCTCGGGTGTTACTTATGTGTTGGGAGGGCGGGTGGGTGGGAATGAGCTAAACGGCTTGCTATCTGGAGGGTGTCTTGATCACTGTTTCCTATTAGTATCCACCCCCTCCCACAAGCGACCGGCGGCCAACCAGGAAACATGCTCCCCCCCACCATCCCTGTCAAACAATTATCCCGGTGAAGGACCCAACCAGATGTAGTTGTGAGAAACGCGTTGTGGGTGCCGCTTGCGGTGGGCCACGCAACGCGTGATGGGGCGTGCGGTAATGCGTGGGGGGGGCGCATGCGGGTGGTCCCACTGGGGCCTTCGGTGGAGCTACCTGTGGGGCCACGACGCGCTGTAGTGGGTTGTGGAGACGCATGCGGGCGGTGCCAATAAGGCTTTCTGTGGGCCCCATATAGGGCCACGAAACGCTGTACTGGGTAGGGGGGACGCATGCGGCCGGTCCCACCAGGACCTTCGCTGGAGCTCCACATAGGGCCACGAAGCGCTGTGCTGGGTGTGGCGGAAGCATGCGGGCCCCCCCACTGGAGCCTTCGGTGGAGCTCCCTATGGGGCCACGAAGCGCTGTGCTGGGTGTGGCGGACGCATGCAGGCACCCCCAGTGTGGCCTTCGGTGAAGCTCCCTATGGGGCTACCCAACGCTGTACTGTGTGTGGCCGACGCGTGCGGGCACCCCCAGTGGGGCCTTCGGTGGAGCTCCCTATGGTGCCACGAAACACTGTACTGGATGTGGCGGACGCATGCGGGCACCACAAGTGGGGCCTTCGGTGGAGCTCCCTATGGGGCCACGAAGCGCTGTACTGGGTGACCCCTGCTGGGGCCTTCGGTGGAGCTCTCTATCGGGCCACGCAACGCTGTACTGGGTGTGTCGGACGCATGCGGGCCCCCCCCACTGGGGCCTCCGGTGGAGCTCCCTATGGGGCCACGACGCGCTGCGCTGGGTATATCGGACGCATGCCGGCACCCCCGCTGGGGCCTTCGGTGGAGCTCCCTACGGGCCACGAAGCGCTGTACTGGGTGTGGCGGACGCATGCGGGCATCCCTACTGGGGCCTTCGGCGGGGCTCCCTATGGGGCCACGAGACGCTGTGCTGGGTGTGGCGGACGCATGCGGGCACCCCCACTGGGGCCTTCGGTGGAGCTCCCTATGGGGCCACGACACGAAGCGCAGGCGGCCATGGTCCCTCGCGTCGTAGTTCTTCATTTTTTCTTAGAAAGCTTGGCCTAACAAACTGCCAGCACCTTCTCGTTCCGAGAAGGCGCTTCCTGCAATCCGCCACGTCCCCGACCACGAGGCGGCGCCGTGCGTTCCCCCCCAGACCCCCCCAAATTGATAAACTGCCTCTGGCCGAGCGAACGTCCATCGCGCGACTCTTCGAGACTTAGCGCGCTTCCCGTCATCCGCCAAGTTCCCGACCACGAGGCGGCGCCGCGCGTTCCCCCCCAGACCTCCCCCAGTTGATACTGCCTCTGGCCGAGCGAACAACCATCGCGCGACCCTTCGAGTCTTAGCGCGCTTCCCGTCATCCGCCAAGTCCCCGACCACGAGGCGGCGCCGCGCGTTCCCCCCCCCAGACCCCCCCCATTTGATACTGCCTCTGGCCTGGAGAACGTCCATCGCGCGACCTTCGAAAGTCGAGCGATCCCGTCATCCGCCAGGTCCCCGACCACGAGGTGGCGCCGCGCGTTCCCCCCCCAGACCCGCCCCCCAATTGATACTGCCTCTGGCCGAGAGAACGTCCATCGCGCGACCCTTCGAGTCTTAGCGCGCTTCCCGTCATCCGCCAGGTCCCCGACCACGAGGCGGCGCCGCGCGTTCCCCCCCCAGACCCCCCCCAGTTGATAAAAAATCCTCTGGGCACACAAACGTTCATCGCGCGACCATTCGGGTCTTAGCGCGTTTCCCGTCATCCGCCAGGTTCGCGGGACACGCGTTTAAAGAGACCTTTGGTAAGAGATTTCCCTCCGCGCCGATGAGCCACGTCCATCGCGCGACTCTTCGAATCCAAGCGCGCTTCCCATCATCCGCCACGTCCCGGTCAAGGCCCGATCCGCCACCACTCCTCCCCTGGACCCCTCCGCTTGATAAATACTTTCCCTCCGGGCCGATGAGCCACGTCCATCGCGCGACTCTTCGAATCCAAGCGCTCCCCGTCATCCGCCGCGTCCCACTCAAGGCCCGACACCGCCACCACTCCTGCCCAGGACCCCTCCACTTGATAAATATTTCCCCTCCGGGCCGATGAGCCACGTCCATCGAGCGACTCTTCGAGTGTAAGCGCGCTTCCCGTCATCCGCCAGGTCTCAATCACGGCGCGACCCCGCCACCACTCCCCCCCCTTGGACCCCCCCGCTTGATAAATGTGCCCCCCTCGGGGCCGATAGCCAACGTCCATCGCGCGACTCTAAAGAGTCTTAGCGCGCTTCCCGTCATCCGCCAGGCCTTGATAAAAGAGCGACCCCACGCCCCTCCCCCTCAGACTCCCCCCGATTGAAAATATTTCTCTCCGGGGTTACACCAACGTCCATCTCGCGACTCTACGCGCACTTCCCGTCATCCCTCAGGCTTTAATCGCGGGGCAACCCCGAGCCCTCCCCCCCTCAGACCCCCCCCGATTGAAAATATTTCCCTCCGGGCCTGCGCCGACGTCCATCGCGCGACTCTTCGAGTGTATGCGCACTTGTTTGAAGACGCAACCATAACACTGAGGTATCGCGAGCATGCGCAGAGCCAGCCGCGAGGTCGGCCCGCGCGCGCGCGTCCACGGACGC